CTCCATGAAAATTAAACACTTCAAATCTTAAACGAATAATGTCAATTTTATACACGTGTTCTGAGTAAATTTTTGAAATAAGTGAGAAAAATTTTTAGTGCAGTGAGTACTAGAAGTTGATCATGAAATACAAGGTTGAATTCATGTCACGAACGATATCGAAGTCTCAGGTAATAGAGTGATTCGAAAGCTCAACGATTAATTCCCTGATAACGAGAAACTCCTCAACCGAATCGGAAGTACTTTCAAGAATTCCAAATTACTCGGTTCGGGTGGTAAAGGTTTATTACTTTATAAAGAGATTTTTTTACTACTTTTTTTCTCAGACGTGAAACCCGATGAAAGGCCACGTCGACAATGCAATGTTTATAATTTATTAAAATAACGATGAATTAATGAAAAGTGTTAATAAATTAACCGATAGTATTACGGACATATTGTAAAGAATGTCCGTCAACCTCAACAATATTGCGGGCGCTATTAAAAATTGCACGAGCTAGTACAGGGTGTTCGATTAATTTTCCGATAACGAGAATCAGCGGAAATATGCTCCCTCTCTTTTACTATGCATACACTGGAATAGAGGTTTCAATCAAAGAGAAAAAATAAAATTCATTAAACTATTGAAAAAAATTTCTTTCAATTATTAATTTATTTTTCTTTTTTTCATTTTATATTTTATCACGTTAATTGATTTCATTTAATTAGAATAAAACATTATTTCAGTAAAAAAGCTCAACTATTTTTTAACACCGCTCATTTTATTTTAATACCTCGGATCAATTTTTTATCACCAAATTAAATTATTTTTTAAATCTTTTTCCATGAAATCTTCCGGAATTTTTTTTATCAGAACGAATAACGACGGACTGCAATTTCGACAATTAATCTAAAGTTTGGCCTAAAAAAGTTCAAACAAAGTCAATAGCTGAAGATATTTGTTGAGATAGACTTAAATGAATCCATCCGGCGTCTTGAGAGTCTACGAATTTCCCCCAGGACTCGTTTCATTTTTTCGACGTTCTTCACCCGTATTTTCATGATTTTTACTTAATATTATATCTCGGTTGTTTACTCTGTCATATACTTTTATATTATTGCTCTCAACTTAAATTATATAACCATTTCATATTTATATCCCCTCGGGATATAAAACTCCAGCGAATGTAAAGTCATTTTCCCGTCAAAATAACTTTAATAATTAAACCACTGAACCGAGTTGCGCTTATCAAAATTATAAAATACCAATTGTTGTTTTATTATTTCAATAATTCTACAAAACACTATATCATAATCATATTATAATAACGAGCCGAGGTGAACGCGAGCCCGATCAGCAAACGAGTCCTTTATACGTCGAGGACTCACTGATAAAAACCCACATTTATATTTATATTTTATACACTGATCACGAAATACGTAGCAATTATGTTTATTTTATGTGTACAATATTTATACATCTATATATATCATATACGATTATATAATATAAATATATTGGAACACTTTATCGTCAATGAGGTTTTTTAATTAATTATTCTAACGTTTCTCGAACGCGTACTCTTTATTTTTTTTTTAAATAAGAGATGATGTGTTTTATTATTTGCTCGTTATTTAGTTAACGAGCTATTTATTTATTTATCTAATTATTTATTTACTAATTTATTTATTTATTTACTAATTCCGTTACTTCAAGCCCAGCGCAAGGTTTAGGAGTGACAGGAGACAGCAATAGCGGGTTTATATTCTCGACTCATTCTCTAACGACGCTCATTAAGATTTTTTTAATTTATCATATCAAATACTAAACGTATGACATTTGAGGTAATAAACTTTCATTTAAATAAAATAATTTCCCTTTAAGAAATTAAATAGACTTGTCAAATATTGGAACTACCGTTAGCGTTCTTAAGTAATCTGTCATTTATCCTCTCGACAACTTAATTATTTAAACTAATTGTTTTGTATGCTCATGACATATGTCTGCAAGCAAGTCTTTTAAGTCTGTACGTTTTTCGAAAATCCATTTAAGCTTGTCTGACAAGACAGAAAAACAATTAAGGACTTTATGCTCGAATGTCTGTCTTAAATCAAACCAAATTTAGGTATATGCATTACAAGTCATTTATTCATTTGATTTTGTGGTTATTCTTTATTTTAAATGTATATATTGCGGTTCAATATTTTATACAGGACTAGCACAAGAGCAATTAATAAAAACTGTCTGCTAGGAGACAAGCGTTGATAAGCAATATAAATTTAACTTGAAAGTTAACAAAGGACTTTTTAGCTCGCGTGTACATCATTCAACATGATATGCCAGCATGTGAAAGGACTATAATGAAACTTTTTTTCCGACTGACTGAGAATAGATTGTCACTAAAAAAATATATTACATTTGTTTTACTTTATTGTTTAGTTAAATTAAAAAATTCGATTAGATTTATTCGTCGAGTTGTCTTATCATCTATATTATAATTAAAAAAAAATTTACTACCTCAAACAGTCGCACGTACTATATAGACTGCGGCGGTGATTTCGCTATTAAAATAAAAAATAATATTTAATTAATAGAATGAAAACGTTAAAAATGTCTAACTTTGCCAAACACAAACGCTCCTTGTCGCGTGCAAAATCTAAAAAATTACGCTCTACATAATTTTATTTTATTCTGCTGGTAAATTTATATATATTTACACGCGGTGAATAAACAAAGTTAAAGCTTAACGCTTCATATAGATATAGATGTAGATATACATATTTGTTCAGTACACATATGGCTATTTTATATGAAACATGAAATATATATAAATATATATAGTTATTTTTTATAGACGGGCATTAATTCCCCGGTTTATATCCTATATATATTTATAAATATTTATTTATTTATGATTTTTTTTTTAGTTTGTGATTGTGTTGTAGTTAATTGCCGAAGATGTATTATATCGATGAATCTTCGTAGCGTGGATAAAAAGTGAACGTTTTTTTTTTTATTCGTGTCTCTTTTTATCGCCAGCGAGTGGAGTTTATTTAAACGCGAGCGAATCGATTGGCAGTTTTTTTATTGTTGTTGTTGCTGTTGTTATTATTGCGGCGATTATTTATCGAGCCTTACTTATCTTCGTCTTGTATATAAGATTCGCGAACGTGTATTGGCATGACGATAAAAAAGATTTTGAAGAGAGAGATAGATTAATGTCTGTTTTGTTTTTTGAGCTTTTTCTCGCAGATAAATAATATATTCGATATAATTGTTGCTTGTAGTTATTATTATTATTATTATTATTATTATTATTATTATTATTATTATTATTGTGTCTTCGTATGATTTTTCTTTATCGTTGAGAATTAATAATACCGATAATTTATTTTTCTGCGAGTATTTAAAATCATTTTAATTTCGTCGAGAGCGAAAAAACCTCCAGTACTTTTATTTGCACGTATTCAAATATAATTTCATTTAATTGGTCATGATGTTGGTATGACGGAGACGATTTATTTCTTTTATTTCGATGGTAAACTCGTCGCGGAGAATTGTGTCGAGAAGATATAATAATGTGAGTAGAGTTGTAAGTTATCGAAAGTACTTGGAGAATTTTTTGAAAGGTCTTTGAAGAATTTTCCTTCAGCTTCGCATGGACGAATCTTGTAGCCAAGTCCAACTTGTTGTTCTTGAGTTGTAATATATATTTGTTCTTATTTCTTACACGTCGTTTACTTGCAAATTAAATTCACGTCAAAGGGTAAACATCAACAGTATTGCTGAGTACCGATGAGAAGAATGACTAAACGCTTTTCACATTTGTTCGCTAACTGACGGCAAACTTTTGCGTAGTAAACTTGTGTACTGTACGTGTCTGACTGTTTACAGTGAGACACTACTTGATGGTTTTTTTTTTGACTTGGCTGATTCGTTCTTCCATGTCTAAAAAATTTTAATCAACGATTATCGTTTAAATTAATATTTTACACTGATAGAAGAATTTATTAATATTAACTATTAATAATGTAGACTATTTGAAGACAATTGTGTAATTTATTAAATTTTTATAAATATTTTTTAACATTCAATAAATATTTATTTGGGAGAAAAGTAGATTTATTAAGGGTTAATGAGTATTTATATATAGTTAACAAATATTTATTAACAGTTAATAAATATTTTGTTGAGTGAATTTGTTTCGCTTGCAATGTCATATGATATGAAGATTGCTTATAAACAAAAATCATTTTTATAAATTATTTGCATTAATTATATTACACTAGCAACCTTGCAGTCACGATGTGACTGCCGTGACTTGTGAAGTATAAATAAATAAAATTTTGTTTTATTAAATCATGAATTTTGTTAAATTGCACTGTACTTTTTTAAATATTGACGTTTTTAAAAATATAAGCTCATCCCGATGTTACACTCGTCAAGAGCTTTCATTTGAGTACCCACATGCATTTTTGATATATTTTTGATATATACATATATATAATATATATAAATATATGAAAAATTGATGTGGGTACTCAAATGAAAGGTCTTGATGAGTGTAACATCGGGAAGAGCTTATATCTCAAAAAATGTTTATAGTTCACAAGATACAAGGTCATTTCTTAATTATGTATCTAGAGATAGAGCATTTTGGAATGCAGTCTAAATACTTATCATCATAAATTGACTATTGGTGAGAATGATATGAAATCATTGCTATTTTTGCTTTTAATTTTAAAGAAATATTTGTTAACAGTTAACAAATAGTACTTAATAAATTACTTATTAACTATTAATAAATATTTATTAAATCCTATGATGTTAAAAAATCATTTATTAACAGTTACTAAAGCTTATTAAATATAAACAAATCCTTCTATCAATGTGTTTAGTATTATTATCAGATTTTAATGAAATAAAATTGTATTAAGTTAAATATAAAATTTTTAAATACCTAGAATCAGGAGGAGCCTTCTTCGGAAAGGTTTTTTGGCTGCTGGGCCTGGGCAGTTTACTACTGGACGATTATATGTGGCGCTGATAAGAGAACTGCTATCGTTGCAATCAGCGTGAATAGTGTGAATACAATCAGACACAGCCTTTAACAAATTAAATACAAAAAAAGTAATTAAATTTTTCATTATATAATAATGATTGACATTTCTGATAGTGTTTTTAATATATTTCACATATGAAAATAGAATAAGGCTTCAAATATTCGTTGTGAAAATTGCAATTAAAACTTTAACGAAGTCACTTTATTATTTTCATAGGTGAAAAGGTTAAATATAATTCAAGTAACAAAAATCAATAATTTTGTTGATTTACTAGTCGCGTTAATTCACGAGTCCGTTAACATTCTAATAATTGAAGCTTGACAAGTAACTAATGACAAAGTAATTAATTAATCACTGAAATTTGAATATGCAGACAAAGTACTATGAAAACCATAGAAATATTAAACTAAAAATTAATTTTAGTGAACTAAAAGTTTTCTAAGTTTTTTTTTTCGTATGACAAGTAAAAACAATGGAAGAAATGTAATATTTTTCATGTGAAGTTTTTATAGTACTAACTCGATCAATTTTTTAGATTAACTTCTGTTAACACCAAGGAAATAACTTTAATTTGATTTAAGTACTTCGAACACAAAAAGAGTGTAAATCAAAAACTTTATACATCTTTTTTGTTTGAGATTATTTTTATTCCCTAGAAAAATGAAAAAGATACATTTTTATAGCTTTTTCTCACAGTATTCATTCTTTTTATTGATCCTATCTTGCCTTAGTTCGTTTATGTTTATAAAGTATCGAAACAAGATTCATTTCCAATCGGAAGTTAAAATATACCTGATAAATATTTTTATTACTATCGTGATTTATAATTATTGTTTATTTCGCTGTTATATTTAAAATAAAATTTTCAGATGATTTGCCTTTCTGAATCACAAAGAAATGAATTAATAATTGGTAGGAGAGTTGAAGGAAATGTCATTTGTCTTTGTCTTTAATAATTGAAATTAAAAGGTCTTCTATTTGAAAATCTTTTTCTATTTTTCTTCTCGAAACTCAATCAATCAATCAATCAAAATATTATTCCAAGGCTTTATATAAAGCTATTTTGAAATTATTAAAGCTTCAGTGTCATCGTAACTCATCTATAACTTGGAAGAACATTAACAAGAAAATAAATTGGTTTCATCTCTATTGCATTTCAAAAACAAAACAAAGAAGTTAATGATAATTTTTATTGTTCATGCAGAAATATATTGTTGTGTTATTTTTATGATTTTTATTTATAACGCAATTAAAAAGTAAAGAACAAAATAAGATTATTTATTAGTTCATTAACTTCCTTGCTGTAGCCATTTTTAAGAGGCGAAGCTAGATAAATTTAATTGTTTCAAAGCGCATATTTGCAAATTATTTTCAACTACAATCCAAATTATTTTTTTTAATCAATTAGAGAGAATATAAATTTTTTCCATTAAACGATACTATTCAAAAATTCAAAAAATTTACGATCTAAATTTTTTAAATTCGTTACAATTTTCTATCTTCAGATATCGATCCGAAACCTTCGGTATTAAATGCTGAACAAGTTACGCGGTAGATGATCATATCAGTGATATTAAAAACCGTAAAAAAAAATATATAACAGAATTTTTGCTGATCTTCAATCTAGAATATTAAATTTTCCACGGTCTGATTCTTACAAAGTTATGACAGAATTTTCTATCTACGGATATCAATCTAAAATGTGTAAGATTATATTTTGAACCATTTACAAAAAATATATAAAAAATCCATCTATTAATATATAAAAATTTCTTTTAAACTATACACAGAAAAAAAAATTTACTTAAATCAAGTAAATAATTTTGAAGAATTTCATCTTCTTGATTTGAGTAGAAAAATTCTTGAACTAAGAAAGTTTTCTTGGTTTAAGTAAATTTTACTTAATTCAAGAATTTTTTGTCTTGATTCAAGACAATGAAACTCTTCAAAATTATTTTGTTGGTTCAAGAATTTTTCTGTTGATTTAAGTTAATTTTTTTTTCAGTGTATAATTTTTTCATTTTATTTCCACAAATATTTTTATTATTTTATTTAATATAGAAGACAAACCAAAAAGTAAAATATAAAAACGAACCTGTCAACAGCCATGGCAGCAAACTTCCAATCACTGATGACCTCATTTTCCCAATCGGCTTTTTTCATGCGTTTAGTAATAAACTGCAATTCGCCTAGTATGGTCTTGAGCTCACTGTAGTGGCAAGAAGTCCCATTGTAGGGCATACCGATAGTGGTCTCCTCGACGGTGGTCGGTCTGCGAGGTGTGTCATGACCCGAGGTGCTAAAATCAATTATTCGTATCAATCCAGTATTAAAAGTACTCCCTGGTATTCCGCTGGGACACATGGCTTGTGAAATTCACCATCGATATTTTCTCTCTACTCTACTGTGACATCCAATATCGATTGGTAACCGCTCCGCTGGTTTGTCCGCACTCCCTTTACTATTGCTTGCATTTTTCTATCTCCGCAATACAACTATTTCTATTGGTACCTAGCTCACACCTCCTACTGTACTTGTCGATGAGGATAAAATGTTTCTAATATCAACGTTAAAGGAAAATTCAAAGGATTTATTTTTTTGCTTTTTATTAAAAAAGACACGAGCTGGAAATCAAGCCAATTCAATATTGAATTGACATGATCGGTAACTTTAATAATTTTTTTAAGTCATTTTATTCAAAAAAATTTGTGGTCTGTTTGATAATAAAGAATAACTATTATAATAATAATTACTAGCAACCTTGCAGTCACTATGTGACTGCCGTGACTTGTGAACTATAAATAAATAAAATTTTGCTTTATTCAATAATGACTTTTGTTAAATTGCACTGTACTTTTTTAACTATTGACGTTTTTAAA